AAAACTCAATTATTTCCATATCCCACGTGAGTTTTTTAATTTCTAATGAATAGTTAAAATTAAAGACATTATTCTACTTTCACGAACCTCGTTTCTAATAATGTTAGCTCCGCAAAAAGTGACATCAAAATGTAGTTATAAACTTTTATGTTTCCTTCCTATTTATTTGTTCTACCTTATCTAATACTGATCATGATTAGAGTTGTTAATTGAAACTAAGTCGTCCTGTTAGCTCGACTCGTTAATGCTCGAGTTTGAGCTCGTTTTTTTTAACTATTAAAGCTCGACTTGCCTCAAACTCAAGTATCACGAATTCCAACTCAGCTCAGCTAATTCGCTCTCCTACTCGTAACTCCATTAAACCTAAAGTAATAATCTCAAATTCTAATGTCCTAAATCCACCCACAACAAGTGACCACACATCAAATTACTAATCGTTATAAAGAAGAACGGTCCAAACCATTTGATGGTTGATACTACCAAATTTGGGACCCTTTGGTAATAATCTCACTTTTAGTTACCACAGTGTTATCACAATAAATCCACTTAAATCTTGGTGTAGACCATGCAACTATTGTAGCTTAAAAAAATGTGAGGTTCCTATCAAGACGGTCCATGAATTTATGCATGTGATTAAGGTCTCGTTTTAACTTTATGAAGCATCAATAAAATAATTGACTAGTCTCAAATCAATTCAACTAACTATGTGCATAACTCTCAACTTTCCCCACGTCATAACTAATTATGATAAACAAAATAAGTTAAGATGCCGAATTATCCGTACATAACATGTTTAAATTTGACGTACAATTTATTACGTACACATGGTATTTTTAACAAACACTCGCNTTTCAAAGACACATATTTTATTTTTTTCATAAAAAGTAATTGTGAGGTTATTACATTTGACCACAAACTGGTAATAATCCAATTCAAACTACCTATGAAAATATATAAACTATTTTGACCTTTAAAAATCGATCGAGAATCGACGAGAACAAGTTGAAGCTATCCCATACCAGCGGACCACCTTCAATTACTCATATTAATTTAATAAATTAATGCTTTCAATGTACTTTTAAAAAGATTATATTTAAATATATTGTATCAAATCATATGAACTGATTCTTTAAATAAATTCAGACGATAGAACAGCTGATCGATTGTTAAAATCGTCAACTAAAGCAATAAAACGGGGATTAAAAAAATATTTATAACAATCATTATATCCAAAAGTTAAAATCATTTAATCAAACATTTTAGCGGGTAAAACGAAAATTTTGGCAAAAAGTTCAAAAAAAAGAGGAAAACCAAATTCCAAGAAAGTCTCACACGTGCCAAACCGTTACTTTCTTTTAGTCTGTCCACATTGGATTTGGACCATAGCCAAACAGCCGGTAGCCGGTCAACCTCCCGCGTTTTGAGCTTTGTCTGACAATTTCACCGGTCGGTCCATTGGCATTAAATGGTCAATGGAAAAATTGGATACCCAAGTTTCCGTACCAACTGCCCACCGGCATTTCCCGGTCGATCCCATAAAAAGAACCCGTTCTACATATAATCCCAATAATATAATACTCCCTCTGTTTCTTATTAAATGTCGTTTTGACTTTTTTGATTCATCCATTTTGCTACGTATCTAGACATATTTAATGTCTAGATACGTAACAAAATGGATGAATCAAAAAAGTCAAAACGACATCTAATTTGAAACAGATGGAGTACTAATTTACGCTTAAGGCCTTTACAATATTTCAAAATGTAGTTTGCCTTTCATGTATACCATAGGTTATTTTAGAGTTAGTACATTAGAGCTCCTTATTTGTGTTTGTGCTATTGAACACAATTTTTTTATATATAGATATTGTCTGGCTACATAATTTACCCCGATTAAAATTATGATTTTGATATAAATTTTACTCAAAATTTAATTTAACTTAATTTTATTTAATATTATTAAAATAATTAAATAATATTAATCAATCATTATCATACAATTTCCAACAAAATTCACTATTCATCGACTTATCTATACTTATATTAAAAGGTATCTCATTTACCAGATTTAGTATAAAGAAAAGTCAAAGGTAATTAATGTTTTCTGGAAATAGAATGACATTAAATACAGATTTGTTTTGGTATTTATAGCTTGACATTAAAGATTTGTTATGGGATAAAAATCAGAACCGATTTTTTTACCTTTGCTGGAAAATTCAAATGTAAGTATAGATTTGTTTTATTCCATAACATCGGTTTAGTTAAAAAATCTCATAAAATCGGTTTTAATGTCAAGCCTATAAATAAAGATTTAAGCGGTTTTAATAAAGCAGATTTAATCGGTTTTAATAATTGCATAGCATTTCAAAGCTGTTATTTATTATAAAAAAATTAAATTCTAAAAAAATATTTGTGTATATTTTGTAAAATGTTTGTACAAAATGTTTTACTTTAAATTTATTTACATAATTTAAATTAATTACATTAATAAATAATATGAACATACATTAAATATTTTAATTACATAAAACAAAAAGAAGAAGAAGATTACATCTATAACTTATAATAATAATGACATTATACTACAATAAATTTTATAATGAAATAATATAAGTATTATACGAGGAACAAGATTATGTAAAATTGTTATTTTTCTTATATCAATGAATAAATATATATAATGAAATCAAATTTATATTATTATAAACATGTGAGCGAGATAATATATTAATTAATTTACGGGCTAGCGCTACCAGACTCAGGTTTAATGTTCCGACAAAAAAAATGACGTTGATGAAAAAATGTAAAAAGATAGATGATCAAACCCTATTATTTTTTAGGCCTGAACGGACAAGCCCTATGGTCCACTCATTTAATATCTCCCGTGAATCGCACGAGCTACATGACGGACAAGTTCTGTGGAAATAACTCATTAATACTTATGTCTCGTGCATCGCACGGGCTACGTGCTAGTATATTTTTAACTTTAATCGTTACATTTTTAACTCATATCTAAACACAAACTCAAAATCCAACTCAGAATCTCCTCCCCAATTACACTTTAATTTTTATTTTTTTTCAAAATTCACTTACTTTATACAACAAATTGAATCCAAACCAAAATATGAAAGGAGTATTTATAAATTAAATATATGGCATGAGTTAAACACAAATCGCTATACGTTAATTAAAAGTTAGATTACGCGTGATTATTTACTTGATTATCTGATCATATTAATACCACTTAGTTATTGCATCAAAATCATGAATTTACTTTTATATATACATATGAATCATTGAATTCATACAATATGAATTCATAAAAGCATTTTCATAAATCAAGTCATAATTTAAGCTAGGCCTCATAAATATAGTGGACTTGCATTTAAAGTATTCAGATTAATAGAGCTCTATTAGGAGAGTAAATGAAATGCCGTACAACTGCAATAAGATACTCCCTCCATTTTGAAATATAAGGCATTTAAGGTTATTGCACAAATATTAAGGAGACATTAATTAATGAATAAATTGACTAAATTAACCTTATTTACTCTAATCACAACCACTCCACACTTCCTTAATTTCAACACAATGAGGGTATATTTGGAAAAAAATGTAAAAATTTGTCTTGATTTTTGAGCGCGCCTTATATTTCAAAAAAATTGAGAAACTTTTATACGCCTTATATTTCAAAATGGAGGGAGTACTAATTAAGATGGAAATAAAAGAAACCGAAATTAAGACTTTTCCCAAATGGGAAAGCCGTAGTTTTCTTATTCAGTGATATTCAATGTTTTTTTTCATAATTATGTAATTAAATAAGCAATGTGATATTTTTTTCATATTTTTTTCTATAATTAATATTCACAATGATATATTTTTTTATTCTATATATGCAAAATTGATGTTAAACTAAAGATCGACAAAAAGACGATTTAATATGTAATATAAGAATACTGATAACAACTAAAAGGTAATTAAGTTTAAAAATTTATTTAAAATATGCGTTAATAAACTATTTTATAATTTTAAAAATTATATACAATAGACATTGATAACAGTGTAAATGGATTATTCAGAACAATTAAAATTGAACACATTACATAACTAAGCACCAGAAATCGACACATTGAATTACGAAACACTTAAAGCCAACAGTGGAAAAAGAAATGAGAGTACATGACTGGTGTAAGTTTAGAGAATCGGAGCAAGAGGGTGTAGTCTCACGCAGGTGAAGCGCGCCATAAGAAGTTTAGAGAATCGGAGCAAGAGGGTGTGGTCTCACGCGAGTGAAGCGCGCCATAAGAGGGTGGACTTAGGTGCACGATGTAAGATTCCATCTAAAAACCAATTAATGATGGAAGGAATTGCCCACTGGCATATAAGCTAGGTCCATTTTTTCTATAAAACCAATGTGGGACAACTCACAGGTGATAATCTAACAATTAGTAAATTGTTTTTTAAATAAATATTAATTCTTCGTGGAGAAAATAATAGAGTATGTGACTATAGTGAAATATTTTTTTTAAAAAAATAAATGTTTCTTACCATAATTTGATAAAAAAATAAAAAATTATCCACCGAAATAAAACTCAAAAAATAAATTTTTATATCCTATCTCACTATATCCACTAAATTTTATTGAAAACAAAATCTTATATAAAGTTGACATCCTCCATGTTTCATAAAACAGTAATTAAATTAATAATTAATCAAATACTAAACAAAAGGCAAAGAAAGATAAATAAATATATTCCAACTTCTACAAGAAAACAAAAACTCGTACGCGGGGCCAACCTGTTGGTCTGAAAGCCCCCCA